AATCAGGAACAGTACTTCGTCTTCAACCTCGGTTCAAGCTTCGTGAATATCATTTTGAGCTACCAAACTTCAATTAAACTATATAGAAATGTTCTCCAAGGTTCATAGATCATTTTGGTCTCATTAATTCATAGTTTTAACATCAAATTCATGGTTTATGATTTTTAGTTTTTCAAACATGTCAAACACAAAACTCAACCAAATGACCATTTATGAACGTAGAAACGATCTATATGAACATTCTAGTCATTAGATATATCAACGGGCTTACCTCGAAGCATAATGGAGGTTTTGAAGATTTTCCGGCGAAACTTCCGGCGAGGATTGTGGCTATCTCCGGTGACTTCATACCAAACTAACAACACCACTGCATTCTCCATACTCAAGGCTATCTTTCAGAACAAATTTGAAGATGAATGGTAAAGAAATGGTGAAGTTGGGTTCTTTATATAGGGAAGGAATGGAGGAAGAGGCCAAGGTGATGATGTATCCGCTCCTGTTTCGGCGTCTCAGTGGAGGGGGCTGCGGCTCCTACAGATTTTATACGTAAGTCCCTGATTGGGACTAAATATGTTCTAGTCGGGGAACACTTTTTGTTGCAACTTTCTCCGAATTGAAATCCGTTTGTACCATTGCGATCGGACAGTTAAACTCTATCCAACGATATAATTTTTATATTTATTCGTTATACTTTTTCCGACATCATATTTTTGGGTGGTTGACTTTGACAGAGTCAAAATTGATTTGTTTGACCTTTCCTCAAAAAGGTGTTCATATTCAATTCATATTATTTATTTCCATGATTTATTTCAATAAATCATTTTAAAGTTCACATTATACAATGATTTCTCATTTATTCTTAATTTGGGTATGTACTCAAGTTCCCAATCAAGATCATACAAATAAGTCAACAACTCAACATATTGGGTTTATCTCTATAAGATTTCTCCAGATTGTAATATTGAATATTAAACATATTTCATTTTGGCCCAAAGCCCAACAAACATTTATTTTTAATCAAAACAATTTTGATTAATTGAATATTTAATTCAATAAATTTTAGGGTATATTTTGGGGCGTTACATTTCTTCCCCCCTTAAAGGAATTTCGTCCTCGAAATTCTTCTAAGGTCAAACATTCAACATTCCGTAGTGATCTTACTTAATCATGACCGTGTCATGTTCATTTAGTTAAATCATATTCACATCATTATTCACACGGATATGTATTCTTAAATTGTCGATGTTACGAAACTCGTTCTTTCTTCAATAGATTAACAATCTTTGATTAAGCAAGACATTCAGTGATCCTTCAGTATCAACAACTAAAGTTTCTTCGTGATGTATAGGGTTATATACTTGCCATACTTGCACAAAACTTCGTTCAGTCTCAATTCCTCGTTGTACAACGTTGATTAACAATATTCTTCCTCTCATTGAAGGTTCTTCAGTAGCATTTGTAATTTCAAGTTCGCGGTAGATGTAGTGGAAGGTTTGGAGGTTGTTTAATTCATACATCATAACGTAACTTTCTCAAGTTACTTGAGTTATCTTCATATCGTTCTCATAATTCAACAATAATTCGTAAGTACATCAATGGCGTTTAGTGGTCCAAAATTTTCAGAATATGGGATTTATCATCATTTATGAGGAGGTACAATCGATCGGTTGTACAGTCATTCGTCATTCATCGACCTTATGTCGAAACATTTCTTCATTCATCTTCGTAGTAGTTCTCATTATCGTTAATGAGTCTATGTACCAGTTCCTATTTATACGTGATAACGTTCTAGTATCGTTGTCATATCCAAATTTATTTTATCGATTTTGAAAATATATCTAGATATGATAGCGACATTTTCAATTGTAGCACTATGGCTGATCTCGTTTCGAGGAAAAAAATAATATCTTCAGTACGTGATTCAATTCATGAGTTCATAGAGTGAGGAATCTTTACCAGTTCTTAAACCAACATCGCATATAGGTTCGGGATCTTCACTTGAATGATTCAGCCTGTTCTTGTGACGTCATTTCTTCTCTGGTTGTCGCACATACATTTTCTTGCTAGGATTCCAACAATGTCATTGATAATAATCTTCAGAGATAGCGTAATAGTATTGATCGTTTTGTAGTCCACAAAGAGAGGTTTAACATAATGTTTAAGTCAGGGTAGTTTTACTATTGTGATCGAGTCACGTATTCCACAGGGTATAGTTTTCAAAGATCGATATCCTGGTATCACCCAGTATTGTTTTGGTTTCAATGAAGAATCATGGGTTTAGTATTTTGATACAAAGAATGGAATTCAATCTTTTCAAGATTGATCAAGCGAGATGTTTTCAAGGGTTTAGTTAACACAACAAGTTTGAGTAATTCAGGAATATGAGTCACAAGATATAAAGATAGCGTTTGCGAATTACCGTTACTAATCGTAGGTTTTCTTCCTTCAATGTTTCACTCTTTGGAAGTTACTCAAGAGGTCATTATCTTGAGGTTTTAGACATTTGGATTTTCGTCTCGGGTTTGAACGTATTCCAGGACATCAAATCTAACTGTTCATGAGTCTCAACATGTCATATCATCAGCAGACCGTAGTATTGGTGAGTACGTAAATTGAATCCATCTTTGCTGCACAAATTTCAACTAAGGATAATTACCCTTTTCTCAAAGATCAAATTTCAAGTCTATATATATAGCATGATTGTGATAAGTGTATCTCACATTCTCTCATTATGGAAGGAACCTCTCGAACACTTCCTTACATCATAAGATTTGTTGGTCTACTTGGCAGTCATCCTCTTGGTAAAAATCCAAAGTTTATGGCTACTGCGGTAGATTTAGGAAGGGAATTGATAAGGCGAAAGATTAAACTTGCCTATGGAGGAGGTAGTGTTGGCCTTCAAGGAGCTGTTGCTTCAACAGTCTTTACCAATGGTGGTCTCGTTAGAGGTTTCATTCCTGGTTACATAGCAACACGAGGTGTCTACGGACCTACGTACGGTGTAGAGCATACAGTTTCCAGCAACTATTATAAGTATTTCGAGATGAATCACGCCGTGGAAGCTTTCATCATTCTTCCCGGAGGAGTTGACACTATGGAAGGTTTGTTCACCTTGATCTCGTGGGCTTCTGAAGGGTTACACAATAGACCCATTGGTCTTTTGAACATTGACGGTTATTTAAATAACCTAATCAAGTTTTTAGATGATGCGGTGAGGCAGAACTTCATGGCTTCCAGTCAAAGAAAACTTTTCATTTCTTATTTCTTTGTTGGTGAGCTTTTAGACAAGTTAGAGTTCGCTAAAGCTTTTCTGGCTTTTGGGGCTAATTATGACGAGTTTGCAAATCCCGGGGGATTAGACTTAGAATTGCATCTGTAACTTTCCTCATGTAATCCAAGTTGTATCTTGTGTTGCAATGATATTTTCCATAAATATTCGCCTAGGCTGTATGGCTAGTGTGAGCTACATTTTCTTCATTCTTCAGTCTTTCACTGTTGGTGTCACTGTTTCACATTTTTGTATTGTCATCACGTCGCAATCTTTCACATCAATAGGGTATACGAACGAGTCAACTATCTTAATGATTTGCTTTGTCAGCATCACTTACTTCATTTATTCGATTAGACATCGACGTTTTCGATGATAAGCAATTGGGTCATTAATCGTTTCATAACAAGGCATCAGTTCATTCAACAAGGTTGAGCGGTCTATAGCTTCATACAAGTAGGTTATTTGAATTTGATCGAATAAGTCGTCAGTTCATAGTAAAGGATAGCAATTCTCGATCGTTATTTTGTTCAAGTTTCATAACAGAGATTTGTTAGTATCCTGACCGTAAGTCAATTTTAGAGAATACAATGGATTCTCTAAGCTGATCAAATAAGTCATGATACGAGGTAAAGGATAACAAATTGTTCAACTGACGGTAGTTGATATAGAGTCTTGTTTATTCTCGTATGAACAAAACATGTATTCTCCCAAGGAGGAAACACTTGGTCAGATGATTCTTTGTCAGGAAGTCATTGATGAGAACACGTTCAATATAGAGTTACGAATATTGGTCCTTTCTCGGATCAAGATTGGCAGGGAGTTCAATTTCTCGGAACGGTGAAGTATTAGGAAGTTCATATTAGAGAGGTGACGTACTCTCGGTACGTTACTTCAGTTCATATGTTTCTTTTCGCGTAGACTTCACACGAAAAGACCTTACGCTCCTTTTTGGTTGAGGGGTTGCACACATAAATTCGAGATGAACTCGGTCGGTTTAGAAATCAGCTTTGCTTTCACCTATATAAGGTTTCCACCATCGATCTTCAGTTGAAGAATTCTTCGTCAAGATTTGTCAATACCAACGTCGTTCGATCAGCCAATGTATACTAATGATAATTATCAAATTCCTTGTATGGTATTTCAACGAAGTTTTGCAAGGAGTTGTCGCTTAACGAACGATTTCAATTCACATTAAGTAATCGCATAATGTGTCCTAATGAGTCAAACAATAGTATCGGATACTTCAGATAACAGATTTTATTGATTCTAAACGTTCGTGTTTGAACCAGCGATTAGATCGTCTTGAGTCTACATGAGGATCTTTGACATCAGCTTCACAGGTGTTTCTCAACATTTATTGTTTCTTCGGAGTCATCTCACTTTTATACAACTTCGCGTTGCAGATCTGTTTCGTCCTTCGCGATGCGATGCAAATGTTAATAACGGATCAGAGGGTCGTATATTTTTCGTTCATTATTTCGTCTCTTCACTGAGTACGAAAGTTCTACTAGAATCTATGCTCGATATGATTTCAGTACTGATCAATTTTTATTTAATGAGAATTCTAACTGAGTAAATATTTACCAAGTAATTTCTCATACCTTTCCTGGAGCAGAGGGACGCGAGAGTCATGGATGTGATTGACTCAATTTTTTTTTAATTCAAATTTTGATCCGAAGATCGGTTTTAAAACCATTTGCTCTGATACCAAATTGTAACACCCTAATCCGTCCAGGTCTATAGCCCCTTTCGGACTAAAGTATTAACTTGGTAATCGTAAAATTTAAAACTTTTCAAACACTTTTATTTATCATAATAATATTTTTCATATCATAAACAGTACAGAGTTTTCAATATTGCGGAAGCTTAACCAATCATAACCACAAACATAATTTATTTATATTTTTTAATTCAAAACCATCGCATCCATTGCGACTATCTCGCCTCCGTCTGCCTCCAGGATCACGTCACATCATTCTATTGACCTGCGTGTAGCAAATAAAACACACTACACGCTCAGCGGTAAAGCTGAGTAAGCATATCTAATGCGTCGAACATCCACATAAATTGAATCTCAATTTCATAATCAACCATTTGATATCATGCACATAATGTTCAGTTCAGATATTCAATAATCAATATTCAATTTTCAACAATCATTATTCAATCATCCAACATGTATATTCATCATTTGTCATTCAACAGTATCCTTAAACTATTCTTAGTCTAAGGCCAATCACTTTAATATTTGTCAACCCTTAAATGAATTCTAGTTTAACTAATTAAACTATATTCCAGTATACAGAGTACTCCTAATAATCCTTAAGCTAGGCCTAGTTTAAGATAAAAGGGTTTTGGAAATCTTAAACTTACCTTCACTTAAGGCCAATCACTTTAACATTTGGATCCCGTACGTACGTTTTAACCCTAGCCACCGGGCATCATACCCGCAAGGCCTAACTTATATAGGTATATCTTAGAGTTCTTCTAGATACCTTTCAAATCAACATTAATATGGGTATATCTTAGAGGTCTTCTAGATACCCTTGACAATACATATTATTTTCACAATCATTAATATATTCATTATGATTTAATTATTCATAATTACCATTTTTAATCAGAACAATTATCAAGATTTAATCATCATAATCATCAACCAATAATTATTACCATAATCATCAATCAACATAATATTCAACAACAATTAGCGGCCTAGCTTCGAGTGTTAACACCCGATTTTACCGTCATGCATCACATAACATATTAGGATTAATTAAAATATTATATTTACTTTAAAAATGATTTCATTTCTGTCTTCGAGTGGAAAAATATCATGATAGCATTTTTTTGGAGTTAATTTCCGAACATGAAGATTTTGGACAGGTTAAAATGGCCTGTGGCGGTACCATCCTACCGTTTCACAGGTAGTGCATTACCGTTGCACGGCAGTGCATTACCGTCGCACGGTAGTGCATTACTGCTACTGTGTGCTGCATTCAAATCAGGAACAGTACTTCGTCTTCAACCTCGGTTCAAGCTTCGTGAATATCATTTTGAGCTACCAAACTTCAATTAAACTATATAGAAATGTTCTCCAAGGTTCATAGATCATTTTGGTCTCATTAATTCATAGTTTTAACATCAAATTCATGGTTTATGATTTTTAGTTTTTCAAACATGTCAAACACAAAATCAACCAAATGACTATTTATGAACGTAGAAACGATCTATATGAACATTCTAGTCATTAGATATATCAACGGGCTTACCTCGAAGCGTAATGGAGGTTTTGAAGATTTTCCGGCGAAACTTCCGGCGAGGATTGTGGCTATCTCCGGTGACTTCATACCAAACTAACAACACCACTGCATTCTCCATACTCAAGGCTATCTTTCAGAACAAATTTGAAGATGAATGGTAAAGAAATGGTGAAGTTGGGTTCTTTATATAGGGAAGGAATGGAGGAAGAGGCCAAGGTGATGATGTATCCGTTCCTGTTTCGGCGTCTCAGTGGAGGGAGCTGCGGCTCCTACAGATTTTATACGTAAGTCCCTGATTGGGACTAAATTGGTTCTAGTCGGGGAACACTTTTTGGTCCAACTTTCTCCGAATTGAAATCCATTTGTACCATTGCGATCGGACAGTTAAACTCTATCCAACGATATAAATTTTATATTTATTCGTTATACTTTTTCCGACATCATATTTTTGGGTGGTTGACTTTGACAGAGTCAAAATTGATTTGTTTGACCTTTCCTCAAAAAGGTGTTCATATTCAATTCATATTATTTATTTCCATGATTTATTTCAATAAATCATTTTAAAGTTCACATTATACAATGATTTCTCATTTATTCTTAATTTGGGTCTGTACTCAAGTTCCCAATCAAGATCATACAAATAAGTCAACAACTCAACATATTGGATTTATCTCTATAAGATTTATCCAGATTGTAATATTGAATATTAAACATATTTCATTTTGGCCCAAGGCCCAACAAACATTTATTTTTAATCAAAACAATTTTGATTAATTGAATATTTAATTCAATAAATTTTAGGGTATATTTTGGGGCGTTACAATGTCGCCCGTGCTCTCATGTTCCAGGCCAGTCTTCCAATTGAATTCTGGGGGGAGTGCGTGCGTACCACGGTCTACCTCATAAATCGTACTCCGAGTCCAATTCTTGGCGGTAAATCTCCTTTTGAGGTTCTCAATAAGAAAGCACCTGATCTTCGTCACTTACGTATTTTTGGGTGTTTATGTTTTGTTCGTTTACCTACCTCAAACAAATTTTTTCCGCGTAGTACCAAATGCATGTTTGTCGGATACCCCACTGGCACCAAAGGTTGGCGTGTTTATGATCTTGACACCCACCGTTTCTTTCATACTCGGGACATCTCCTTTGACGAAGCACAATTCCCGTTTGCTGTGCTCCCCACCTCCACCGAACAACCACCTGCCGAAAACCCTCCCCATGCAGATTTCCCTTCCGCCACCACTGTCCTACCCGCCACTGCCCAGTTGCCCGTCTCCACTGTCTCGCCCTCTCAAACCGCGGGTAACTCCATCGGCGAGGGCAACCCAGTCACCACCACCGATACAGCTGCCGTGCCTACTCTTCGTCCTCAACGGCAGCGTCGTCAGCCTGCCCACCTTAGTGATTATATCGTTAATTCCGTTCAATCCGATGCTCCGTTGTGCGCCTCTCGAGCTTGCTCTTCGTCTTCAGGTACACATTATCCTATTGCCAACTTTGTTTGTTATTCTAACCTCAGTGACAGGTACCGAGGATTTTTGGGGGCCATCAGTCCCCATTTTGTACCCAGGAACTATGCCGAGGCCGCCCCCCACTCCAACTGGCGCGAGGCTATGTTGAAGGAACTTCAAGCATTGGAGAATAATCACACTTGGGATCTCACGAATCTACCTCCTGACCGGACGGCTTTGGGATGTCAATGGGTTTTTAAAACTAATTTCAATTCTGATGGTACAAAGGAGCGTGACAAAGCTCGGTTAGTTGTTCTTGGGAATCATCAGACGCTGGGGATAGATTACACAGATACTTTTGCCCCTGTTGCCAAAATGGGTTCCGTTTGGGTGCTGCTAGCCGTCGCAGCCGCGAAGGGGTGGCAGGTTCACCAGCTCGACGTCAACAATGCCTTTCTTCAT